TCCCAATTTGGTGATCTGATAGATATGGACATTTCCTACGGAATGGCCTTTTTAGTTTTCTTTTATCTTAAAAACTGTAGTTTTGGGATGTTTTCGCCCTTTTGCGGGGGCGGAAGGGGGCGTGGCTCATTTTTGAAATACACTGGTTTCAGTGTGAGCATACAGCAGTCCGGAGCTAAAATTTGGTGGCTTTAGCTCTTATAGTCTCTGAGAACTAGCCGACAAACAAGACGGACAGACGGACAGACAGACATGGCTCTATCGGACTAACGCTTCCTTCTGTGCGTTACATACAACTCTTTGAGTACCGGGTATAATAACAACATTTTACAAGATTTTTGGTAGCCCCTTGGACCCCACCGATTTCCACATTTGACGTCTGACGTCGAATAGAACATTTGTACATATTGCGGTGCAGCAATAAAAAACAAAACAAACATTTTAAACAATATTTTACCATTATGTTACAACTCGGCACGACCTCTATAAGTGGTGCTTAAGTTTTGAGCAACGGGCACGGGTCAAATACGGAAGTGGTTTTCGCAGCGACCGATTCAAACAAAGATTTCAACGAATGTAGATGCAATTTAATAGTGCAAATTTCTGATAAGTCTGGTCCATGGATGTCTCTATAAAGTGTCTATAATTTTACAAATATATGATTCCTAGTGAAATTACCATATGTTTCGATGCATAATATTTTGCATTAAAATTACCAAAAACATATGTATGTATTTAATAATAATTATCAATAATTTAAAGCAGGATAGTAAGTAATTGCAGTCTTTTTCTTCCCAATTTTCCATGCATGAACCATCAAGAGTTGCATACAAGCAAGCAAAATCGAAGTCTAAATGACTTCGAAGTAAATCTCCAGCGTTTCCTGAGTAGTAGCAACCCAGGCTAATTAACATGTTTGCTGCCGACAACGAAGTAATTATATAGAGCATATCACATATTATCATCGAAAACAACGAGTTGAATGTATAATTCATGAGGAGTCATTCGATTTATCCAAGCCCCGCCCAAATTCTCAGCCTCTCGAGCCATAGCCATCAAATGGGCACCCTTAGCTAACTTCACACTTCCATTGTAACGGCTTTGAATTACTATCCAGTCATTTTTTTTTTTTGAGGTTTTAAGTTACCGGCTCTACCCTTGGGTAGAGGGGAATTATTTGGCCACCCGCCTTTACAAGGGGGAAATCGCCACGTCGAAATATGTAACTTGTTACAGCTTTGCTCCAATACTTACCTGGCGTAGAGGTTGTTCCCCACGTGCTTCTATCCAGTCATTGCCATCAGTGCGTGGCCAGTGATTTCAATTACTTTAGAGGAGAGGAGTTTTGTAAGTTTGCGCCCTCTATGCGAGGGTGCATCCTAGACTTCTTTATCTTTTTATACCCGGTACTCGAAGAGTAAATAGGGTATATTGTATTTGTGCACAAAGTGCACTTTGCGACCCCGTAAAGTATATATGTCTGTCCGTCCGTCTTGTTGAGCGCCTGGATCTCAGAGACCATAAAAGCTAGAGATACCAAACTTCTGTATGCTCACACTGTTACAAGTGCATTTCAAATATAAGCCCCGCTCCCTCCCGCCCAAGCAAACGGGAAAAACCTTCCAAACCTTCAATTTTGAATATAAAAGAAAACTAAACATTCTTTCAATCATTCATTATTATAGCCTCAATGAAGCAATTCATTTGCAGTGGCTAAACCCACCCCGTCCCGCAGCTTATATTTGTTTTTTTCACATTCTCTCATTCACACTCTGCTTCTGCAATGTGCAGCCTCTGCCTCTGCCGCGACTCTGCCTCTGACGTGGATCTGTAGTGTGTGGCTCTAGGGGAGGGGGGCGACCGAAAATAGCGTGTTGGCGTGAGAAGTTAGGTAGATGTAGATGTGAGGTGTAGGAAAAATGTCAAATGTAAAATTCGAAAAAAAAAAAAAAATATACAGGTACACTGACTGAGGTTGCCTTCAGCTTACTTTCCCTTTCAGTTTTTAATTTTAGACTCCGCTGTACCGACTCTCCTATTAGTTACTTTTATTGTGGACTCGTCTTTAAACGCTTTCTGATTTTAATCAGAAATCAGATTTTTTTGCCATTGTGTGTGAATGGTATTCCACAATTTGATTGCTCATCTTTAGCTTGGATGTCTACAACGCGCAAGTCGAGAGCCTATAGCATGTCAGTAACTCGATTTCCAGTGATTTTCGTATCCATTTCGTTTTATATTTTTATCGATGCTTTCAGCGACATTAGCAAATCATCCTTGTCCCTGCACTTCTAATCAAAGAGATCGAATTTTCCTTATAAATCGATAGTTGTATTTGAGCTTCAGCTAATTTTCCCAGTTCCTTGATGGTTGAAGCAATTCTTTTGACTTTATCTTGAGAATGCCTTAGGGTTTTCAACAATATTTGCTGATCTCTGATTTTGAGTAGTAAAGAAATCTACAACACCGTATTCGACAAGACCGGAATGCAAAATTTTCCAAGCAGTCCATGTTTCAAATCATATTCTACAATAAATAATTAAGCCACTCCATGCTTTACCTTAAATTTACATTAGAATTTGATGTCTAGCTTAATTTAAAATGTAGCCACTCCTATTAAGTACTTTTCCCCTGCATTATTTACAGACTGGATTGGGTTAATAGCCGTCAGCCGTCAGAGTAAAAATTTCCATAACTTTAGTGATATACGAATATTTGTATGTACATTTTTGAACAGACTGCGCTTTGAGCGCCTGGTTCCTAGTACTTGTTTATGTTGAATAAACGCACGCCATGGAACTGTGGAAGCTTAGGCAGCGTGACGACAACCAGGGATACAAAGTTGGCAATAAAGTGTTCGGTACTGTTCCGGGTGTAGAGACAGGTGAGCAGGAAACTGAAAGCAGAAATGCCTGATTAAATATAGCAAATTGTATTCCATAAGGGATGGGTGCACGTACAGAACAATTGGAACGACTGTTAAGAACTTTCGGGTGGTCGTCATTTGAATGCCGTCGTCTATCTGCTCCCAGTGAGTCCAGTGGCGGCTCGGGTCGTTCTCGATGCTCAGCCAAGGTGCTCCCTTAATGATGTGCAAGAAGTACAAGTGGGCCTAGGAAAACATTGAGCGCTCAGTGAAGAACCAAAGTCGGAGAGATATTGTCTTACCGCATTGTGAATCAGGTTGGTAGCTGTCCAGGCCCACGAAATACTGACAAAGGGCAGAGATAAGAGTATCAAGTGAATAGACAATAAGCCAAGGAAGTACGCCAGCCAAAAGCCACGTGCACTCAACCAGGAGCTGTTGGGGTTCGGCTCCCCGTGGCCGCCGGCAATGCTCGTCATTGCATTTGACTGTGAATAGTGATTTATTAAATTATTTTAAAACGTAAACAAGTTGCTTTGGTGGCTAATCGATAGTCGATATGTTCCAGCAACCCTGCTGCACCCAACACACATTTTGTGCGCAATGTCCATCACTTGAAAACAAATGATTGTTCCCATATAACAACTTCCCAAGACGATATGACTTTTTTGCGGTATTTTTAACTTAAGTTTAACTTTAACGAGAAGGGACGCGTGAGACGCCTCACAAACTGTTATACCCGGCTCAGTAATACATCTGCACCTTAACGGTTATTTGTCAAATTTAAAATTTTTTTCTTTATCTGTCTTCTACATCTACAACACTTCTCACGCCAACACTCACCGTTAGCTCGACCTCCCTTCCAAATACCCACATTTACGGTATATATAGAATATAATAAGGTATATAATGGTATATTTCTGAGGGTCAGTAAGTTCACTAATAAAAACGCCGTCACGCCCGCACACAAAAAAAAACGAGAAGGGACGTGTGAGACGCTTCTTACGCGTCACAACTTTTATACCCGGCACTCAGGACTACATCTGCACCTTAGCGGTGTTTTGTCAAATTTTAAATTTTTTCTTCATCTGTCATCTACATCTATTCATTAACGCCCGTTAACGTCAGCGTTAGCAGAGCCCGCACACAAAAAAAAACAAATGTAAGCTGCGGGACGGGGTGGGTTAAAAGTCGGTAGTGGCAAAGGTAGAGGGACGACAAAGGCAGGGGTCGAGTGAAGCAGAAGCAGAGTGTGAATGAGAGAATGTGAAGAGAAGAACAGCAAAAGCTGCGGGACAGGGTGGGTTTAGCCACAGCAAATTAATTTCTTCATTGTGGCTATAATAATGATCCAATCCCAATTTGGTGATCTGATAGATATGGCCATTTCCTACGGAATGGCCTTTTTAGTTTTCTTTTATCTTCAAAACTGTAGATTTGGGAGGTTTTCGCCTTTTTGCGGGGGCGGAAGGGGGCGTGGCTCATTTTTTAAATACACTGGTTTCAGTGTGAGCATACAGCAGTCCGGAGCTAAAATTTGGTGGCCCTAGCTCTTATAGTCTCTGAGAACTAGCCGACAAACAAGACGGACAGACGGACAGACAGACATGGCTCTATCGACTCGGCTATTGATGCTGATCAAGAATATATATACTTTATGGGGTCGGAAACGCTTCCTTCTGTGCGTTACATACAACCGTTATTCGCACAAATACAATATACCCTATTTACTCTTTGAGTACCGGGTATAAAAAAAAGTTTGGATATGTCGAGTAGTGCAATATACGGCCTATTCCACTTGGTATATTTTTATATTTTTCGAACATTTAAGCAGAACTATTGGCTATTGTTATAATAGCTTCAAGTGTTTGGCTTTGTAGAATTGAAGAAATCTTTGCTTTTGTTTTTTAGCATTAACAGATAAGTATTCTAAATACATGTACATTTAAGAACTTAATAAACTATATATATATGTATATACAATAAACAATATCGGGGAAAGTACCAATATCCATACATTTACGTGAGATAGCCACTTGTGGCTGACGCAATGTGGAACTACTATTCCATGAGTGTTCACATCATCACGATAAGACAGTCTTCTATATAAACCAGAACAGAAACGGGTCTGCATTAAGTTCGAAATATTGACTTGAAGTGAAAGCTAGTTCGACGACTATGAGTGCCGGTGCGATATATACATCCGAGAAGCGCGGAAGCGACGATTCTGGAGACGGTAGCCAGAGCAAGCCCTTCAAAACGGTTCTCCATGCAATGCGGCTGACGGGCTCTGAGCCGTACGAAACCATATATGTGGACAGCACGGAGCCGTCCAAAGTTTTTGAGCCCGCTGCCAAGTCTCAGCTGAAAAAGGTCCAGAAAGTGCTGCAACGCGATGGCCTGAAGAACGTCGAAAAGGAGCTCCGCGAGGCAGAGGACTCGGAGAAGCGCCAACAGAATTTGGAGGAGGCGCGCAAAATTAGGATTAAAGAGAATGCCAGCTTACCATTGGCCAGACAAATAAAGATCGCTAAAGGAACGGATGCCCGTGGAGCACGCGTCAAAATCTATGGCTGGGTGCACCGACTGCGGAGGCAGGGCAAGGCGCTGATCTTCCTCACCCTAAGAGATGGCACTGGATTCCTGCAATGTGTACTTACTGATTCGCTGTGCCAGACTTACGACGCCCTGGTTTTGAGCACCGAGAGTTCTGTGGTGCTCTATGGCGTACTCTACAAGGTGCCTGCGGGGAAGATCGCACCCGGTGACCATGAGCTACGCGTGGACTACTGGGAGCTGATTGGTCTGGCTCCCGCAGGTGGGGCCGATGCCATTCTCAACGAGGAAGCTCTGCCCGACGTGCAGCTGGACAACAGGCACATAATGATTCGGGGCGAAAACACCTCCAAGGTGCTCAAGATGCGCTCTATCGTGATGCAGGCCTTTCGCGACCATTTCTTTGAGCGAGGCTACAACGAGGTAACGCCCCCAACCCTGGTTCAGACACAGGTAGAGGGCGGCTCCACTCTCTTCAAAATGCAGTTCTTCGGCGAGGAGGCCTTTCTCACCCAGAGCTCGCAGCTGTACTTGGAGACTTGCCTGCCCGCTCTGGGCGATGTCTTCACCATTGCACAGAGCTATCGGGCAGAGCAGAGTCGCACACGCCGCCACCTGGCGGAGTACACACACGTGGAGGCAGAGTGTCCATTCATAAGCTACGACGATCTGTTGGATCGCCTCGAGGACTTGGTCTGCGACGTTGTGGATCGTGTGCTGAAGTCGCCATTTGGCCACCTGGTGATGGAGCTGAACCCTGACTTCAAGGCACCGAAGAAGCCGTTCCGTCGCATGGACTACGCGGCCGCCATCGATTGGCTGAAGAATAACAACATTACCAAGGATGATGGCACCTTCTACGAGTTTGGCGAGGACATACCCGAGGCTCCCGAGCGCAAGATGACCGACACCATCAACGAGCCCATTTTACTCTGCCGCTTCCCCGTGGCCATCAAATCGTTTTACATGTCCCGCTGTCCAGAGGACCAGCGGCTGACTGAGAGTGTGGATGTTCTGCTGCCCAACGTTGGCGAGATTATCGGAGGCTCGATGAGGATTTGGGACAGCGAAGAATTGTTGAAGGGCTATGAGCGTGAGGGTATCGATCCCACACCCTACTACTGGTACACCGATCAAAGGGTCTATGGAACAATGCCTCATGGTGGTTATGGTCTTGGCCTGGAGCGCTTCCTTTGCTGGTTGCTTAACCGATATCACATTCGTGAGGTTTGTCTTTATCCACGCTTCCTCGGCAGATGCAGGCCCTAACTGCATTTCAATGAACAAATATATTTCAACATATACATATGTACTTATAGCACATGTATCCAGGAAAAATAAAGAAAACTTTTCATTATAATTTAAGCCCGATTACAAGTTTGCGGCATTAAGGCTTTTTAAGACTCAAATCTTTTACATACCCATGAAAAAGAGAAAAAAAAGAAGTAAACAACATTATAGAAAATTGAATCGTTGATCGGCTAAAAATTAAATGTTATGTCTCTACCCTTCGGTAGAGGGGGATTATTTGGCCGCCCGCCTTTACAAGGTGGAAATCGCCACGTCGACATATGTAACTTGTTAAAGTTTTACTCCAATTTCGTCGATGAACTTTTTGATTTTTGATTAATGTTTGGTACGAGCGAATTTGTTCTTTTTCGAAGAATTGATAAATATTATTATATTAAGTGGGACCGCGGAATTATCGATCAAATATACGAAATATACCCTTGCATTTTCAAAATATACTGTAAATATACCGTGAATCTTAAATTGTATTCCTCGATTTTTATGTTCTATTTGATATTACTAGCTAGTTAGGAGTGTCCGCGCTAAGACTATAATTGTATACAATTTTCCAATCAATTCTCCACAAGGGTGGGTAGTTTTCACGACTTTCATTTCTTGGGTTGTTTACAAACTAAGTTTAAAACTGAAAAGGTCAACGAATAAAAATATTATAAATCGTTACGTGAGTGGGAACGTCATTTGGCAATTTGTTGCTTATCAACAGGTAGGTAGGGATAGTAAAAACGGGCATATATTTCCAAATATTAATATTAAAATGTAATTTTCAAAACTTCTCTCAAACAAACCAATATTGAGAAACTCGATTTTCATTGGTATATTTACGGTATATATAGAACATAATGAGGTATATAATGGTATATTTCTGAGGGTCAGTGAGTTCACTGATAAAAACGCCGTCACACCGATGGCCATTTTGTTGTTTTGTGTGGAAAAATTTTCGGCATGGTTTAAATTTTGCGAATATATTCAGAGCTTAGGTGGCAAAAACGGTGTTTCACATGATAGTATCCAAGCAAACATTTGAATTGCTATAGCAAGCAGAAAGCAGACATTAACAAGATGAGTGGAGCAAATGCAAAATCATCGGCGGGGTTGGGAGGTAAGTGGCAAAAATACGTCGTTGAAATTAAAAAAATGATGAATGTAATTGAAAATATTACATAGGTGGCTTTGGTAGTCATATACCCAGTATTGAGGAAAAGAATAGGCAAATCCAGCAGGAGACCATGATGGAGAAACTGAGAGCAAAGTACCGCAACAAACCGAAAACGTATGAGGAGATCAAGAAGTCTGTGAGAATGTATTTTATTGAGAAGCACTATCCACTGGACCCGCTGTGCAAGGCAACGCTGCAGTCGGCTTTGGACAAGCTGCAGCACTATATCAAGGTAACCTCGAGGCATGGCCTTGTGGAGCGACTGGAGAGCCTGTCGCGGCAATTGGGTCTCAAGTTCATGGAAGATCAGCAGCTCCTGTTTATTTCCACGGACATGTTCTATGTGGAAATTTTGCTGGACGCTAGCGGTAATCTGTCGGACGTCAAGGTGCATCACGAGTGCAAAATAGAGCAACAATCGAACGAATTGGTAAAGTGCCTGAAGTCAGGAGACTTTGCCGACTTCACCGTCCAGCTAGAGGGTCTTTCTTCAATTTACCAACTCAATGCCGAGCCAAAGGTGAAGAAGAAGGCGTTTGTGGCCCTACAGGCCATGGAAACAGACATATACAGTCTCTACAGTCATCAGATGCAAAATCGCACGGGGGACAGCTACGAGATCATGAACAGCTCTGCCGTGGGCCTGGTTCTGCAGCGTCGTGGCGGCCATCCCATGAAGCTGACCTACTTCTGCCCCCCCATCCACCTGACGGATGGAGACTCCAAGGTGGCAAGCAGCGAGTTAAGCATTGATCAGGTGATGCACAGCAGCCACGGACTGAGTGCCACCGTCAACCTGGAAGGCTCCTCGGCCAACAAGCTTCAGATTATGCCCATTTTAAGCTTTAGTCGCGATCCGCAAACGGGCCTGGAGATGCCCACGTATGCACAGCTCAATCAGAACAACTGCATGCTGATGCCGGCCACATATGTACTGCGTCTGAACAAGCCCATGCCCGTGTGCTACGAGACCCTCAAGAGTCTAGGTCTGCCGGGCGTGGAGGGCATGACGGTCGCGGCCTCATCGCCAGTCGCCACTGTGCTCAATTTGATTGTGCAAACCGCCTCTAAGCAGGCGATAAAGAACACCCAGCGGGGCCTCTATGTCAATCTGCCCAAGGAGACGCACTGCTATTTCTTTACGGACAATCGTAAGCTGCAAGGTGCACTGATATCCTCCCTGCCCTTCACAGAGCCCGCCCAAGTGCCCAAGATAATGGCGTTTCTGAAGAAGCAGGCCCTTTTCTACACACTTCTAGCTAGCTGTGTGCGAGAACAACAGAAGCAATACAATGGTAAGTTATCTTCTTTTTCTTCTATCATGCTATGTCTCAGACGCAAATATTTTCCTTTGTGTAGACATGGATAGCACTGTGATACTAGAGGTGACGGCCGTCTCCTTCAACCAGATCACTGTGGAGCTGCAGCACCCCTATGAGGAGTCGCTGGCCACGGTAGATTTTCTGCTGGAGGATGGGCAGGCCACATGCAGCACCTATTGCCTGAATAACGAGTACGAGCTGCTCTCTCAAAAGCTAACTCGTACTGTGCGGAAGGTCCTTTCCATTCCGATGGTCATCTACAAGCTGCTTAAGTGCTGGGATGAGGAGCATCAGTGCAAGTTGCACGGTGTGATTGGTACTGGAGCGGGCGCTGGTGCGGGATCTGGATCGGGAGCTGGAACAGGAAATGGTGGCGCTGGCGGTGGAGGACTGGGGCTTTCTCATGCCCATCATTTTAACCAATTTGCCATGGAAACCGGACCCTCGGTTGATGGAAGCCTACCCAGTGGGGGCTTCACCAACATCAACAACCTAAAAATGGAAGCCAAGTCGCGCTCTCTGGCAGATGCTTTTGCGGCCTCCACATCGGCAGCGGCAGCCATTGCCGGCCTAATAAATCTAAAGCGTGAAACGGATCCTCAATCTGCCGTCGGTTCTGTGACTTCGGCGAACTCCACTGGCAGTTCAGCCTCCCTTTTGGCGGCGGCGAAGGCGAGCGATCATGAAATTGCCGACAAGTATAAAAACATTTGGAAGGATAAAACGCCGAATCTGAAGCACTGCGTCAGCATAACTCCCATTCCTGGAGACGGTAAGACAGGTGGTGTAGGAGGAGCCGGAGGAAGCAACGTTGGCGGAGGCGTTCCAACAGTGGAGGTTCAGCGCACAGGTGGCATAGAGATAATACCATTAAATGCACAGAGCCAGACCAGTGGATCGCGGGACGGGGGAAGTGCGACCTCCTCAACGGCACCCACTACCATAACCATAACTCCGATTACTGGTAAGGATCCAGCCAAGGAGTCGTCCAAAAAGAACTGCTCAGCGCCTGCCGGGGTCAGTGTTGCCACGAAGCGTCCGCACGAAAGCAGCGCCAGCGCTTCATCTTCGACAGCCGGCAGCGGAGGCAGCAGCTCGTCCACATCCTCCACCGGCAGCAGCAGCTCCTCCTCCACTGACACGCAGAAGGAGAAGAAGCGCAAGAAGAAACGGGATGATTCTCCCATGGGACCCCCGGAGAAGATATACTCCCGCCAGAACTCGCCAGCGGCTGGTGGAGATGCTTCTGCGCCCGGTGGAGTGGTAAGGAAGTTTTCCTCTCCCTCATCCTCGCCCAAAGCCGGTGGATCCGGACAGGGCCTAATGGCTGGTGTGCCCCCGGCACGTCCTAGCCCAAAGCATTCGCCCGTCTACAGCAGTCCCAAGCACAACACCGCCTCGAACAGTCCCAAATCGCCTTTTGGAACGCACTCTCCTAAGCACGGCTCCTCGGGAAAGCCAAGCATGTCCACTTTGAAGAGTGCGGCCACTGCGGGGACTAGCCTTAGTCCCAAAGGTGATAAATCGGCATCGTCCGTCTGCGTTTCTCCCTCAGCATCTGTAGGATCATCCACAGTAACTGGCGGCAATTCCAGCCTGGTGCGTTCATTTGCAAGCGTTGGAGCACCGCCACCACCACCACCAGTTCCTCCCCTGACCAGCGCAAGCAGCAGTAGCAGCAGTCAACAAAGCGGCAGCTCTGGCATTAAAAAGGACAAATCATCCTCTGCGGGTACCTCGTCGTCGTCGGTATCTTCTTCTGGCCCCTCCGTTGGTAGTGGCGGTGTCGGAAGTGTATCTTCGGCCAGTGTGGTGGCTGCCGCCGGAGTAGCTGCCGCTGTGCCGGCTCTGAAAACCTCCCAACAGCAGCAACAACAACAACAACAACAACAACAACAACAACAGCAGCAGCAGCAGCAACTGAAATCATCTGTTGCGAGCCTATCTCATCTGGCTGCTGGAGGCAGCATGGGCAGCTATGCGGGAGCTGGCGGAGCAGCAGTGGCGGCAGCAGCTGTTGCAGCGGCGGCAACGGTGGGAGCAGGAGCAGGAGCGGTTACAGGTGCTTCGGCCCTGGAACTGAGTGCTCTGCGGAAGGGCCTGGCGGGAGGCGCGGTAAGTCCGTTTTCATTATAAGAGCTCCTCCACACCCTCCCCCATCATCTACACCGGCTCCGGCTCCGCCTTCAATCCTAACTCGTAATTGGATCTTTAGCACTTGTCCTAATCAAAAGCTGACTAAATTCTTAAAATGTTCTTTAAATTAATGCAAACCTGTATCTTTATTTGTTATGATTGAGAAAAGATTTGTTATCGCTTTAGTTCTGCTGTAGTTGAAATAATTATAATTATTATTTAGTTGTTTGTGTTTGTTTTTCTTTGCTTAATCTTTGTAAATATACATACATATATACATAAAATATTATACTTTTAGTCGTCACATCTTGCATCCGTTTTAGTTTCGACTTAATCCTAAAATGTAGTACGGTTTTGGGGCTCTAACCAGCGTCAAGATCCCTCCAGCAACCCTCTAACCTCCCCTTTCCTGCACGTACGTAGATATTTTTACGAATGTGTTGAATTCTTTGTATGCCTTGTCCCGCGATTGCATGATTCTTCCACTAAAACATATAATCCTCGCCAGATTATCTTTATAGCAATTACTAGTTTTTGTGTTTAGATTGGTTTCCGATCTGGTGGCTACGTTTCAAGGACAATAATTACATTTAAAACCTCTGCCTGCACATGTGCCCTTTTCTGTTTGCATGACCTGAACTCAGTAGAAAATTGGGCTTGAAGAGACTTTCCTTCCGATTGGAAATGCGTTTCCTTCAAAGCCCATGGCTGTGGTTAAAAGCTTATTACATTTTTAAGCGAATTACTAACGGGGTCTGCTTTTCTTCCATCTCTTCTCTCCACTTTCTTCCCAAATACAAATACTCTTTCACATTTATTATCTTATATGTTTGCTTCCTCGTTTTTGATTTTTATAATTTTGTGTTTCTCCACCATGACACGCACGCACCTCCACACCCCATGCTTACTTTGTCAGGTTAGTTTGATGACGTCGACGGCAGCTTTAGCAACAGCAATCCCAGCAACAGCAGTAGCAGTGGTAACGGGAATGGGAGTGGGAGTGGCAGCAGCGTCAGCGGGAGTGGGAGCAGCGGCATCAGCGGGAGCAGCAGCAGCACCACCACCAGCAACGTTTCTACAGCAACAGCTGCAGCCGGGAATAGCGCCACCTAGTAGCTGCTTGGCCACTAGCGGGTCCAGCAGCAGCAGCGACGGAGGAGGAAGCAACATCACAAGTGGAACGTCGTCGGAATATATGGTGAAACCGAGCAGCCAGGAAGGCCTCAAGCTGACCATCAACAAGACGGGCATCAGTAAGAGCTCCAGTTCCGTCGCAAGCTCCTCAAGTGGAATGGGAAAAACGAAGGGCAGCAGTAGTGGCTCGAGTGGCGGCCCAGCAGCCTCGTCTAGTTCCTCGAGCTACGCCAAAAAGCAGCACACGGGCCTCAAGCCCGGAGTGAACAGTGGACCTGCCTCCAAGAAAGCCACCGCGTCAGCAGGCGGGTCCTCCTCCAGCAAGCATCTTTTTCAGAAGGCCAACTCGTCGGGCAACTTAAGCAACAAGCTCAGCGGATCTGCCAGTGGCGGCGGTGTACTGCTGACAAAAAGCAACAGTACCAATTCCTTCCCAGAGCACAACGCGCCCAGGCGTCGACCCAGTATGGGAGGATTAGCCAGCAGCGGCGGTTTGGCTCAGCGCAAGGGTGTCTCATCAGCAACTGGGGCTGGCTCTTCGGGAGCCGTGTCACCAGCAGCCCTCACAGGCTCCATGTCCCAGCCACCGCCTCGCTTCGATCATCACACCGACATGATGACCATTCTACAATACGCCTCACCCACTATGGCAGCCAGCATGGAGGGCTTCATCAAGGGACTGCACAACAAGTTTCAAATACCCAAGTTGTCACAGCGAGGAAGCGGTGGCAGTGGACGGAGCACGCCCAGCAGCACTGAGCAGACTTCGACAACATCTGCAGTTTCCTCGTCAGTTGCCAGTTCCAGTGGACTGTCAGATCCGGACGCGAAGCCTACAGCACCGCCTCCTCCATCGGGCAGCGATCTGCTTCTGAACCTAAGCACCACGGCGCCAATGAACACTGAAGATGGCATCGATGAGGAGCTTCTGGCCAGCCTGGCTGGCGAATAACACCTTGCGATGTTCCTATTGCTCTATGCCGCTATGCGATTGACATTTAAAGCTAAACTAACTAATGGATAACTTAAGTGGAATCCTTTGGTGACTGGGCTCAACAATTAAGCTACAGCAATCATCGTACTCGTATTTATGATTACACAAGATGCTCTCATTATATTTATATTATTCCGCACACCATATATTTATAGCATTGTACTCGTATCTCACGATCTGCATCTGCATTTCTTAAAATAGTTGGAGCTGTTTAACTAAGTTTAAATTCAGTTTCCTCCGAAAGGTTTATTTCGGATTTCCTTATTCTTAACATACGACACCACAAATTTGGTACAAAATCTCTGAGATTATCACGTGCTTTTTGTAAAACTAGGCAAGTCGAGTAAAAACATAAGTTATGTATTAGGATAAAATTCAATAGCGATGAAATATTTGTGTGGACTGATCGCTCTAAATATTATGTGAAATAAAATACAAATATAAATATTAATAATCAGTTGGAGACATAAACGAGAAGGGACGTGTGAGACGCTTCTTACGCGTCACAACTTTTATACCCGGCACTCAGTACTTCATCTGAACCTTAGCGGTTATTTGTCAAATTTTACATTTTTCTTCATCTGTCATCTACATCAACAACACTACTCTCACCAACACGCTCCTTTAGCTCGCAGCCCTTCTCTAGACCCACACACTGCAGACTCGCGGCAGAGGCAGCGCCCGCACACAAAAAAAAAAACAAATATAAGCTGCGGGACGGGGTGGGTTAAAAGTCGGCAAAGGCAAAGGCAGAGGGACGGCAGAGGCAGAGGCCGAATGAAGCAGAAGAAGAGTATGAATGAGAGAATGTGAAAAGAACAACAAAAGCTGCGGGACAGGGTGGGTTTAGCCACTGCAAATTAATTTCTTCATTGTGGCTATAAAAATGATCCAATCGGATCCCATGGTTGGTGATCTGATAGATATGGCCATTCCCTACAGAATGGCGTTTTTAGTTTTCTTTTATCTTCATTATCTTCTTCAAATTGTAGATTTGGGAGGTTTTCTCCCTTTTGCGGGGGCGGAAGGGGGCGTGGCTCATTTTTGAAATACACTGGTTTCAGTGTGAGCATACAGCAGTCCGGAGCCAAAATTTGGTGGCTCTAGCTCTTATAGTCTCTGAGAACTAGCCGACAAAAAAGACGGACGGACAGACAAACATGGCTCCATCGCCTCGGCTATTGATGCTGATCAAGAGTATATATATTTTATGGGGTCGGAAACGTTTCCTTCTGTGCGTTACATACAACCGTTATTCACACAAATAAAATATACCGTATTTACTCTTCGACTACCGGGTATAAAAATACAAGTATGTGTATTTATTGGTAAGCACAGACTGAGTTTCCATGACGGTAATCTCTGCCGATTAAACTAAGCGACGAAATTGGAATGAATGTAAATAAGTTCATCTTGTATGTTGGGAAACGAAAAAAGGTTGTACTAGTACTCTTTTTCAGTTGCATAACAGTTTATTATAACAGATCTGTTCGGAGCAGCAGCATTAACATAATTATTAAGATCAGCTCGCCTTGCTTATATTTATACTCTCTTATAATAATATGTTATTGTCCCGCTCATCGCTCCCTCTTACAGTGCATAGAAGCGCACGCATATGTATGCACCCTCCGTACTGCTTATATTTCAGTGCCTTGACCTTTTCTTGCGCAGTCCAATTAATTCTTTATTTTCTATGTCCAACTCGAACCCGCTATTTTTTATAAACGAGATCTAAATCATTGTACATTGTAACACACCGAATAATAAACGAAAATAATAACAACTAAATACGGAGAATAATTATCGTAAAAGTGCAGTCAGAGTTGCCGAAAAAGCTCGACAGCTTCCAACAAGATCAATAGCAACAAAGACATTCGATTATGTATGTTATTAATGAATATCCTTCCTTCCTTCATGCCACCCAAGTGCGTCGAGCTGCCAATTTTTAATTGTCTCTACACGTCAGAGAACGTAAAGTAGACAATCAAAATATACTGCTACGCTACGCCTTCAGATAAACGATGCGGTTTACCATCATGTCGAAGGCAGCTAGACGGAAACACATTCATTGGGGAGCTTGGCAGCATTGGAAGCATGTGTTCGTGGTATCCTGCTCTTCCGTAGAGCTCCGGTCGTACACACATCTAACTTGATTTCGGTGGAAGCGTAACGGTTACCGTTAGCGTTTCGCTTTTATTTCCGGTCCCTGGTAGCGGAAGACAATTCAGAAATTTAATAACTGCCAGCAGAAGCCGCTTCACTTGAAATTCAATTATTACTCGCTTGCACAGGGGCTCCGCAGAGGATAGACACTAGTACATCAGTACATATACACATGTGTGTAAATACTCGTACATACGAATCTGTCCTTTACTCCTTGTTATTCTATGTACCATATCCAATCTGAGAATCTGGAGTCGAATCGAGCGGTCTTGGGAGGAAATAGTTATAATTTTTGTTATTTGAAGCAACCGAAATTATGGCTGGACAGATTCTACAGATTTTGATTCCGATCAGTTAGTATATTAATTATTTGCTTCTTGATTTAACGAGGTATCGATGGCATCGATTTCATGTGGACTTTATTGATTTAGCTCAATTGGATTGACATTCGGGCTCTTGAGCTTCCTGAATGGGGAAAACACAGAGCCACATTAACAATTTAATGAACCCCCATGAAGTCGCTTGCTACTTGATTGTGCCTGTGGCTTGCCTCATGTCTTGCTCTGATTGGATCCAGTTAATGTTTTATCTCTTGTTCCAAGTTGCAGCTGTAACGATTTCGCATAAGAACGCGCTCTGCCACTACCACTGCCACAGGTACAAGGCTGAGACTCTTGCCATTATTGCATGAACAAAAGCAAACCCCATTTACATAGAATAGCTTGAGGTTATCGGATCCATCTCCTTCCTCTAGCCACAAAAGAGCGCCTGCAGCACTTTTAATATGCAAAGCTGGAAACATCCGGATGGAACATCGCCCACCCACTCCTCCCACAACCGAGTATGTACTGCCAACTTTGATTTTAGGATAAACAGGGCTAGACGAGAGAAAACCCCAACATTTTTATGCACAACACTTTTGCTCATTCACTTGGTGCCTGCCTGCAGCTCGGCATCCAAGCTGCACCTCTTCTAACTCCTCCAGTTAACTTGAATGTTGACTCGGCTAACGTTGGCCTAGGGGCGGCTTACAAAACAGATCATAAAAGGTCGGGCGACAAAGTTAAAGCTGATTATGCGAGTATATTTAAATTACACCGTCAAATGCAAGTGTTGGATAAGCAATGGGCTTGGCTAACAAAGATGAGATGAAACTAGTTTCCAAGAGACTGTGAACCAGTTTTGCCTCTATGCTCCTTAACCTACTTAAATAAATATCTTTCCAAAGCACCACAGGTCTTGCCCTAAGCCTTCGTAAACCTCTGAGAAATACATAAACTTACTTGCCCTATCGGACCAAAGCTGCAGGTAAGCGACATTTCCATCCGCATCGCCATTAGCAGATGCGACAAATGCGTTTGGAATGCAATTCAATATTCCTTTCCCCCCCCTCCAAGTCCATGGCTTTGGGTCGGGTGCTCTCACTTCTGTTATTTTTGGATTGTTGGCCTTAATTTACCAAAAACGTTTTTCCAGCAATTTACTGCAGGTCGCTGCGACATTTCACTTGGCATGGCTTAATTTCCAATTGACACTGGGATATTGGCGGTGGATTAGTTTCGCAAATCGATTCCCGTCGAACAGCTGGAGGCGGAACAACCTAGAGCTGCCACAGCCAGGCCATTAGCAAATATATTAAAATCTGTTTGCTCTGAGCTTGAGTAAAATTACGATTACAGGGGTAGTTGAAATGCGAACGGGAACAATAAATGCTTCTAAAAGGTATGCTTAGGTAAGGAAAATCACTTAAAGGAATTAGTACAAGAATCTATTTAATATATAAGAACTGTTGATCAGAACATATATCAGAACATTCACGAGAACATATATGTACATAGATGCATGCACTCAATTATCAACATGATTTGCCAGAGAGGGAATCATGTCCTTTCAAAAACTAAATGTTAAAAGTTTCACAGGAGAAAGGACAAACCACGTGCCAGGGGCTTTAATGAAAATTGTTTGTTTGCTTGGCCTTTTCGGGCAGGTGAAAAGTAATTGAACTTGTTGCCAAACTTTGTCCATCGGCCGACCTACAGCTGTTGTCTCAAATAATCTGCCTTCCACACTGGCTGTCTTGGCTGTTGGCACACGCTACGTTTGCGCTTTGATGGATGATATGATTTGTTTTATTGCCTCGTCCTTCCTACCGTACACCACTCCAGCGTCGCCGCAGACCACCAGTCTAGTTTTCAACATTTTTGAGAAAACTTTTTTGGAGCAAGTTTTCGTTTTTGTCGACTCTATCCTGTCTTCCTTCCTACTGGCATTATATTTTGAGTAGCTGGTGGTTTGGTCTGTTTGTCCAGTTGGCCGAAAATTATTTGAACTCGACTTCCCGCCCCACTGGAATCCCGTCGATTAATCTTTGAGACCTGTGTGTCTGTATGCAAGTGTGTGCTTGGGATTTGTCTTTGTGTTGGGCTGCTCTGTTTGTTTGCAGTTGGAAAATAAGTGAATGTACATACATACATATGTATATATGTTTTTATCTGCGAGCACCTTACAAGTTTTTATAGTTTGCTTTGATAATGTGTCGGGAAACTATTTTGTTGGTCGTGCTGTTGGCTTGCTTTTCGATTTTGATTTTCGCCTCTGGCTATGTTTTATGCGTGTGGGCGTGGCAGGTCTGTGGTTTGCAAGAGCTGAGTAATCTGGGGATCGACTGACCTTTCAAAGCGGTGTGGAGTCGACAGAAAGGGTTTCGGGGGTGGAAAATTTGAATAAACTGTAGCCGCCAGACACACCAAAGCTCGCAAATGTATGTCGTTCGCCACATCTGGCAATTTAGTGAATTCCAATGCCACACAAGCACCTTCTTCTGTGACTTTGCTTGACTATCACGTAGAGAGTAAGGAGTAAGTGATTAGGGCTTTCATCGCCTGTATTTGTTTGCAGATGTGCCAAGTTTAAGGGCCCAAAGCGCGGTTGCGTTGTGGGGTTGCGTATTGTAATCCAAACTCGCCCACAAACAGAGAACTTGCCTTGCCTGACTAGCCGTCCTGGTCCTTGCCAAACATGCTGCTGGCA